GTTAAACAGAGCTGAAAACCGGAGGCATTTCTTTTCAATGGGAGCACCGAGATCGCTGCTATTCCAGTGTCTTTTTAGGATTCCCTCCACCCTTGCAGGCTAGTGCCAGTTTGTGAGAAATTATTTCTGCTCCAGATAGTGTGGACTACTCATTTGGAATATACTTCCGTCATTTTGAGCCATAGCAAAGCTCAGTGCTCTTGCCAACAGGGATGGCAATTATTTTGAACACTAATTGTAAGATGAGTCTATTTTAAAATGAGCATCTGCTCATTTTCAGGATATCAGAATAGATGTTCTCTCACCTTAAATTGTGCTTGATGTTGGAGTAATTTTTCAGGGGTGAGGCTTTCTTTTATTTTGTTTTCTTGTAGTGCTGACCATGCTTCTGGGGTCATTGATTTCTTTGTATTGGAAACCTCAATTGTGTGCTGAATTAATCTTTGTGTTTGACCTATTCTCCAAACCGTAATAATATTTGAACCTGGTTCTGCTCCCAAAGGCAACAGATTTCCTGTTGACTTCCGAGATGCTTTTGCTGAGGTTGAACCTTGGAGGGCAGGCTTGCTGTTTTTTTCAAGAATAAATGACTGAGGACAGCAGAACCCTGAGCCATGATAGGGACCTGTGCATGTAACTGTAGTAATGGTGGAGGATTGTTCTCGTGCCAGATGCCTCTTTTTCAGAAGGAAGGAGCTGTATGCACACTTTGTTGAGTAGGTAAAAAAGCCTTTGGTTGGAAGCTGTCTCCAGGAGCTCTGGCAGCTCGTGTACAGTTGTGTCCTTGTCCATACCTGCAGGGTGTTTCAACAGGATCATGTAGGGTCAGGGGTAAATTGGGAGGTGGGTGTTTCTCTGTCTACTTCCCAGGCACACAGGAGAGGTGGCTCTTCTCCTGTGCAGTGTTAGCAAAGGCCAGTGTGATAATCTTTGGTTCTGTGATAATCTTTGGAGGGAGAGATTTCTCCCTCCCTTTATCGTTGGGTTTTCAGGTTTGAATTTCACAGCCATATTATACTGTGAAAGCTGCCTGACATCTTGTAAAAAAGAACCTAACAACACTGGGCTAAGAAGGATGTGTTGATGGTTTTTAGTTTCATAACATTCGGTCTTCAGTTGCTGCTGGAGAATTAAGAAGATGCAAAGTCTTTGGTCCAGATCCCCTAGATGGTATGGTCTCTCACTTAAATGAGTGGAATTGAAGTAAATATGGAAAACATCTGGACCTTCCTGTCCAGGCTGCTGTTAACTATTATGTGAAAGATCATAACATAATTCTACCTGGTAAAGTATTAACTGGGGATTTTTTTTCCCTGTCCATGCTGAAGTCTCTTTTTTCTTCCCTCAGTCCAGTCTTTATCCTCTTTTTAAGTACTCAAGATACTTTTCAATACAGTCTACAATGTGTTTTTATGCTTTCATGTATTGTTTTTTGAGGTTTCTTTCCTGCCAAATTCCTCTGCTGATGGGCTTCATCATTGGCCAGCTGAAATCGGTGGCTCTGTCTTGACTCATACAAGTGCAACATCAGAACCTTTCTTGATTTTAAACAAGGGCCTGATCATTGTTTAGAAAGGATGACTGAGGCTCAGCAGTCCTGTGCTGCTTGTGTTTGCTGTAAATTTAAAACTGGGTCTCTCTGTATCCTTCAAGAGCTGTTGGTCTGAAGCAGTGAGGAAGTGAGTGGCAATACTTACCCCCACTCGCTTTGAAACCAGGAACTGAGAGTAAGAAGGATGCACTTGCATGCTCTTGGTGATGTAGTGTTCAAGATGTCCACTGAGCTTTTTGTGTGCTACCAGTGAGCTGAAGATTTTGCTCAATTGACTCTTCAGTACATGTTCAGTGCTCAGGAATGGAAGTTTCCAGTCCATTTTTGGTGTGTCATACACTAGCACAACAAAGGAATAGTTCATCGGCTGCAGGGTTGCTAACAGATGAGTTGTTTACTACTGTCTGTGCTGGCACATGGCCGTAGAGTAGAACAGTGCAGTCATGACCTATTTGGCAAGACCATCCAAATTCCTCTGCTGCACTCTCTTTTCATGGGGTTTCTTGTTTTCCTTTGGTGGTAGAAAAGCCAGCAGAGCAGTTGAGGGACTCAAGATCTGTCTGGTGGAATAATGGACTTCAGGACTTGGAAGCAACTGTTTTCCTTAGATGTCAATTTCTCCTTCCCCTAATTTGGGCTTATGTCTACCTGTCTTTAGCCAACTCTGATTAAGCAAGGTGAAGAGTCTGTTGGTCTTTTAAATAGTCCAGAAATGAGTGTATTTCCAAACTGGTGATATTCTCCTTTTTTTGGCATAATGACAGTGATGGTAATAAATTATGAAGAGAGTCTATGTTATTTTTTATAATTGCAAAAAGGCAGAAATTCTGTTTTGGCTTCTCCCTTGCCTCACACAAATGTGTACTATAACTAGGAAAAAAAGCATTACCATGTACTACTATTGCTTCTAAGTAATTTAGGTCAGGGTTAGGTTTCTTGGTCTTTATATTATCCCTACTCTGATTCCTCTTGTTTTGCAGGATACAACAAACAAGACTATTGATGTTTTGGGAATGCCAGTATGAAAGACAGCTAATTTCTCTCAAATACAATGTGGACGACCAGCTTTCCTTCATTGCCAGACAGAAGTCATCCTACTGAATTAAGCTGTTGTTATTTATAGGCCTCTTCTGGCAGCTCCTAATGTACTTCTAGATGCTGTTGTAGCTGGGATGGCAGAAACAGCTACTTGCATGCAAGTGTGCAGTAGTGGGGCAAGGAGTATTGAGCTCTAACATATGCTGTAAGATCTGGAACACCAACTAGCTGGTTGTTTGCCAATTAATGGATTTGGCTATACATATCCCTGTTCTGTATGGGTCTATGAGCCGAGTTTTCATTAAAGAAAAGCCTCTCTTCCACTAACAGAGGAGGCAGAGCATTTCTTTATGAGTTGTGGTTATAGCAGTGTTACATCAGGGCGAGTGAAGTAAGAATCAGCTTACATAGATCCCTCTGGAGCTGTATGCATTGCAGAGGTCCTCAGGGAGTTCTGTCATACCATCCATCTCTTACTGGCCTCAGGGAACCGAGTGCTTGATAATTCACAGGTTTCCATGTCTTTAATAGCTTCGCTTGCAGACTGCCAATTCAACAAGATGAATGAGATACTGACCAGGTTTAACAATGCATTTAAAAGCATATGCTTAATATTGGGTATTCCAATAGACACTGTAAGCCTGCAATGGTGTTTAGTCTCTTTCTAGAAGTCAGTAGAACCGTCATAGGCTTGAATTCCAGCATGTAGTCAAAGTGCCCTGCTTTTTCAGGTCTCACGGTACCACAAGATTGAGAACCAAAGTCCTAAAACAAATCCTTAGACGTTAACACCTTGCATTTAATGAAATTTATGATTCTTCAATGGTAAATATTTTCAGTGAGAGAAAACAACCTTTTTTTTTAAAGAGAAAATTAGAATAAAGGGGGAAAAGACTTCTCAGCTGTTTAACCTTATCATTAGCTAGCTGAAGGAACATGTCATTTTACTTGATGCAGTATTTTTTTTCCTTTTTATTTGTTGTGGATTATTATTCTGCTGTTGCTCATGGGTAACAGAGCCATTTCAATGCTGTAATCAATCTAATAGTGTCATGAATAGATGGCTAAAGTTCCATACATTGGCACTAGTAGCCAGTAGGACATGTTGATGAATGAACTTATATTTTATTTCAGTGTTTAATTGTATTATTGTAACAATAAGTTTCTTTCTTCTAATATTTTTCTGCTCATGCATTTTCCTCTAGTATATTTCTACTTATATCAGTTTGTATATGATTTTTATAGGGTTAAGATAAAATTGTATCTATGTTAGAAGTGTAAAGTCAGAAGTATAATTATAACGTCTCAAATACTGAATGACAGAGACAAAAAATTGCGTTACAAATAAGGTAATTGTATGTTGCTAATAAAAAAAAGTCATCCTATCTCTGGCAGACTAAGTAAGGTGATTAACTAGGAGCCATAAACTCTGTCATTTTAATGCTTAATTGCACATTGTTAAGTGTCATAGTCCACAGATGGATACTAATCCCTGAAATGTAGCCAAATTCTAAAACCTGACAAGGACAAGTAGAGGTCTGGTAGGGAAAAAGGCATGGAGGTAGATTTTGAACAGCGGTATGTGCTAATTTGTTTCTCCTCCTGTTGAAAACACAAGCAGTTCTTCCCTTTGATGCATCATGGTAAAGAGTTATGATCTTTTTTACATAGCTGTTCCAAAAATCGGTTTGGTCTTCAGGATGACAATTACATTGCTTTCACAGGTCTTGTGTTATGACTCAGTCTAGTACAAGTTCTAGGTTGCTGCCTGCAAATTATATGTGAGCTGTCACATGTGCCTGTGACAACGAGGACACCAGATGCAAAAGACCTCGAGTTTGATTTTGGTGGCTTTTTCATATTTAAATCCTATCTACCATTTAAGATTTTTCTTTTGTATTAATTTGTGTCTAAATCTGGCTAGCACTACCAGCTCCCCGTGATTTTAACCTCTAGGTCTTTCTGTAGTTCAGTAATGGTTGTCAACCCCTGCGAACTGAGATCTGGCCAAGTGTTGTAAAATGAAATTGTAAGGACCTTCTGGGAACTGTGGCTCTGATCTTCTGCAAATGCATGCAAGAGCCTCCTTAGGATGTCAACATTAACATGGTTTCTGTGCAGGGTCATCCACGTGAGTTTGCAAACTGAGAGGCTTAATACGGCTGTTAGGAAAATGGCAAGGGAATGAGTATGTACAAGAAATAAACTGCAGAAGTGTTTCCACTGTTACTCACCTTTCCACAGTCAATATACATCCATGCAGTTGTTCTTGATTGATGGTTTTACCTCTTCCCTTAGATTAAATTCCTCTTTAATTTCTTTTAATAACCTTACAAAATACTGTATGCAACTGTATGTAATCTATATGTTAATCCCTCTTTATCATCTGCCTAGTCTTTACCAATACTTAAGAATATGCACTTTCAGCCTAATACTGTTCTTTTTTTAGGTTCCAGGACCAAGGAAGGAGTTGTTCATGGTGTCACAACAGGTAAGACAATTATCTCTCAATTTCAACTTCTTCTCTACATTAGATTAATCAACCATTTAGCTGTTAAATACTTTTTGAGAGCACTACAATTTATGGAAGATAGAAAAACATAGGAAAATTGAGAGAGCTGGTTGGGTGGGATGACTGAAGAGAAATGGCTTATAGGAAAGAAACAAATTTCAGAGTTTTGATCAAATGATCTGAATTTGTCACAGTTATGAGTGCTTTGAGATATTTTTTAGAACTACCTAATCTCTCAGTAGCAAGACTACTTTCAGACTTTGGAATTAATACCAGGCATGTAATATTCACAATAGCATCTCTACACCAAAAATGGAGTAAATTTGCATTTTAAATTGATTTGCAGGAATCGTTTTAGGTATGAACTGAAACCAGTAACAAATAATTTGTTTTAAGGGGCAAAATGAATTGAAGTCTTTGATATCTACAGAGTGCAGGAAAGCCTTAGCTGACCATAGTGCACTGAATAGAATGTGTAATTTTCTGCTATAGAATATGAGACTTCTGGAGATGTGAAGAAAATGCATGGTCAAGAATATTAATTTGTTTTTCCCCAAAGAAATGAGAAAACAAATAAGGTAGTAGAAAAGGATTTTTTTTCCTTAGCGTACAGCCAATGTGTGTTCACATAAACCAGTGCCAAGGATAAACAATGGTACATAAAAAAATGTCAGTACTTAATATTACAGCCCATATAAATGGTTGAAAAGTCAGTCAAGAGTATTTCTAGTAACAAAACTGAAGAGGACATCTATGATAGTCCTTCAGAGTTTAGCCTCTGGCTAAGCATGCGTGCTGTTGTTATGAGGTTTGAAATCTCAGCCTGTTAGACCTCAATTAAGAGAAATGTTCAAAGGGATCATTACTTTAACCAGTAGAGGATTGCAGTAGAATGAGATTTGAGGCACATATATCTAATATCATCACAGATGTGGGAACAAAGACTGACAACAGTTGCAAGCAAGTTAATAGAGGTGATGTACACCAAGCTGGGCTGTGGTAGAATCCAAGTCAAGGGCATTTGCACATGGATGAAACGTGCTGAAGCAATAAGACTCAAGTAGGCTAGCTCAGTGGGGGACTTCTTTCCCATCTCCCAAAAGAAACTACTGATCTCAAACGCTGTGAGTATCTTTCTTTATCTGATTGCAATATGTGTAGAGAGAAAGGAAATTTTAAGTAAATGAATAGAATTTTTGACAGGTTTGAAAAGATGTTAAATTTTGTTCTGGAAGGAACAAAACAGACTCTAAAGTCAAACATAAGGAGAACACATCTGTTATGTGCTGTGCCTATGAATAGAAAATTTGGAAAAGTTACTGTCAATTTTAGGCAAAACAGTGGTTGTTCCTCATGAACTTTATGAAATGGGTGTCACAAAGTGAAACACTGAAAGCTTAGGAGTAATGGGGTTTGTGCCACAGTTTGATTCCTTCTGGCCTGTTCAACTGTTTGAGGTGAGTTTGGCTGTTGAATGGAAATGGAAAATGAATAGAGGGTATTCAGGTTGAAATATGGCTGTGAGAAGACTTCAGGCAAAATCTAGAGAGCATGGTATCCAAAATCAAACAGTATGGACTTGGTACTATAAGAACAGAGACATTTCTTGGGTCATATTTTAAGAATAAAAACTAATTGTAAGTCTATAAAGAGTTGTTCTGGCCAGCAGAGAAGGTAGATGAAAACGGATTTGGGTTCAGTGTAGTCATGCTAGGAGGTATAACATGAAGACACTGAGAAATGCCAATGAAGTTGCTGTAGAAATCAAATCCCTTTAAATCAATGCTATTAAGGTTGATATAACAAAACTGCCCTTTAAGGCACTTGTAAAGACCTACTTGTCTCTTTTCTTAGGACTGGGAGTTCACAAGTTCTGGTCATGTTAGCATATTAACTCCCCAGTGCATCAGGTGAAACCTGAGGTGAAATAAACATTTTATTATGTACATAAAAAAGGTTCAAGAGGTTGGAGACAGTCAAATGCAAACTAGAATCACAGATCAAAACAAGTGTGTTCACAGTTGTACAGTTAGTCCTTTCTTACTGTCTGAGTTCCAAAATCTTGCTATTTTTGAATAGTTAGTGGTTTAAAACCCTATGCTGGTGAGATGACTGTGAGCTGACACACCTCAAAGTGCTATAAAACTAAATACACTCATATATATACACAGTCAATTACTTTCCAAACCCAGACATTCTTGACTGAGGTGTTTCTTGCTTTAAATGTGACCTGATTGTACCAGGTTTAGTGGTATAAAGACACTGTGAAATGAGGATCCTAGGCTGTGCTTCACAGGAATATGGTAAGAGTGTTATTTTTGAAGTCACCCTTTCTCAGAACTTCTGAATATGAAGCAGCTTTGCTCACTGGTTTTATGGGGTGTTTGCTTGTGTTTAGACTTGCCTTCCTAATTATCGTTATCTACTGGCCTTTGACTATAAATGCATAATTCATCCACCTTGCTTATCTCCCAGGGATAAATGTCCAGAAATGAACAGTATCAAAGATAAAATATTTACAGTTCATCTCCTGATATTCAAAATAAAGCAGTATTTGTAAATAGATCAGGGTGAAAAAGCCCTTGGTCCTTCAACCATACGTCAGTTTCCTGAAAGTGAGTGAAGACACAATATCAAGTTATGGACCATAGTCATGATTCAGCATTTTGCTGAATTATTTTGTCAAATCATTCTTGTTTTTCTTAACACAGTTAATCTTTGGCATTCCTGCTGTGTTTATTTTAACTCCATCAGGTATCTTACAGAAAAATTGCATAAATTAAAGGACCACCAATGTATTTATGGCATCTTTGTAAATGAATTCTTCAAGTACTTAAGACTAACTTATTGTCTGAAATAGAGATTCAAAAATATATTTAGTGCAATAAGAGTAAATTCAGAGAAATCCTGTAGTTTTCATCTACTTTTATTGTTCAAAGTTGAAAGCAACTAGTTATCATTTTGAATTAAGCCAAAGGTTTCACAATATTGTATGTTACCCAGGTGCCTATAATAAGTAGGGAAAAGAAAGCTTCAATGCTAATATTTTTTGCACCATGCTGTAGTAAGTATTTGAACGTCAAACTCAAAGTTAGCCTCGGGATGGTCGTTATGCATCGTCCCAGGGTCATTTAATGGAATGGACAGTCTCTGCATAGATGGAAGTAATCAGGCCAGAGCACAGCAGAGCTCTGCAGAAGCTGATTCACTCTGTTTCTCAACACTGATGCAAAGCATGTATCAATTCTACAAAGACTTAAGGGCTTAAGATCATTAAACAACCTGGTATTCAGATTAATTTAATTAGTTGGAATCAACCCCCTACATTCTGAACTGATTTGTTTGTGCATAGTTAATGCTTTCCCCTGCTTACTACTTAATGAAGGTAATAAAATATGTGAGACTGGAAACCTATTTTGGTTTTTCTTCTCCCATCACTGGAGTTTTGGAGCTGGATGGTCACCAGGCTGGACCTAATTATTAATCACTCTGGTGACTTTGATGATATTTGGGTGCTCTGATTTCTGAGCAGTGTATGAGAGATCTTTCATGGTAACTCTCATGCTGTGTCTGTGTGCGGGTTTTGGCTGGGGTAGAGTTTGTTTTCTTCGTAGTGGCTGGTATGGGGCTGGTTTGGATTTGTGCTGGAAACAGTGATAGTGTTGATAACACAAGGATGTTTTAGTTACTGCTGAGCAGAGCTTACACAGTGTCAAGGCTTTTTCTGCTTTTCACCTCACCCCACCACGAGGGTGGGGTGCACAAGGAGTTGGGAGGAGACACAGCCAGGACAGCTGGCCCCAGTTGACAAGAGGGATATTGTACACCGTATGGCATCATGCTCAACGATAAAACTAGGGGTAAGGTTGGTGGGGGGCAGCTGCTCGGAGACTGGCTGAGCATCAGTTGCTTGTTGGTGAGCAATTGTTTTAATATGCATCATTTGTGTTTCTTGGGCTTCATCTCTCTTTCTCTCTGTTATTTTCCTTTTTATTACAATTTGTTTGTGTTATTTTATTTCAGTTAAACTGTACTTATCTCAGCCCACAAGTTTTCTTACTTTTACCCTTTCAATTCTCTTTCCCCCTGTCCTACTGGGGGTGGAAGTGAATGATCAGCTGTGTGGTGGTTAGTTGCCAGCTGGGGTTAAATCACAAAACAGTCTGAAACAGAAGCAATCTTAAATATACCTCTTTTGTTACTACTTTTGTCAGCATCTTATTGTTGTGCCATTAACAGAGTTAGTGGCCTGATTCTTTCCTTTTTGATTTTACTTTGCATGTACTAAGCCTTTCCTAGGGTAATTTGTTTCTGGGAGGAGAAAACAGACTTCAGGCAGAGCTTTTCCAAAACCTTCTAATAGTGGGAACAGCAGCCACTGGGTAGTTGTGCTTGGTAGGTGGGTGTACTTACCAGGACAACATAGAAATGTGGCTTTAATAATGACATCAGGAATTAGGTGTTTTCTATTGAAGCATCCATAGTGCTCTCAATTCCACTCTATTTCTTGATATTTTCCTTTTGAGGTGCAGTTTTTTTAATAGCTTGAGATAATGAAACTGATTATGACTTGGCAAGGAACACAGTGCAACCATACTTTTATCGTTTTATCAGAAGGGGCAAGTGTGCTTAAGGGCAACTGAGCACGTGATCCTTTGTCAGCATTGAGCCTGCTGAATTTGTCCTTTATATGTTCTGCCATTCAACATGTTTTGGAAAAGGGAGTTTTCAAAACAGTGTATGTCACTTCCATAGAAAACAAAGTGAACAGAACGAAAGGACCCAGATTTATAGAATCATAGAATGACTCATAGACTGGTTTGGAAGGGACGTTAAAGATCATTTAGTTCCAACCCCCTGCTATGGGCAGGGACACCTTCCACTAGACCAGGTTGTTCATATCTCCATTCAATCTGGCCTTGAACATTTCCAGAGATGGGGCATCCACAACTTCTCTAGGCAACCTGTTCCAGTGCCTCACCACCTTCACAGTAAAGAATTTCTTCCTGAAATATCTGAACCTTCTCTTTCAGATTGAAGCCACTCCCCCTTGTCCTGTCACTGCATGCCCTTGTAAAAAGTCCCTCTCCACCTTTCTCGTAGGCTCCCTTTAGGTGCTGGAATGCTCCTACAAGGTCTTCCTAGAGCCTTCTCTCTTCCAAGCTGAACAATCCCAATTTTCCCAGCCTTTCCTTATAGGAGAGGTGCTCCATCCCTCTAATCGTCTTCGTGGCCCTCCTCTGGACTCTGTCCAACAGGTCTATGTGCTTCCTGTGTCAGAGGCCTAGGAATGGACACAGCACTCCATGTGGGATGTCACAAGAGGGGCAGAATCACCTCCCTTGACCTGCTGGTCACACTTTTGATGCAGCCCAGGATCTCTCCCAAAAAATGAATGAGACAGAGGAAAATTGAAAAGTAATACTGAAATGTATCCAAAACACATCTTTTTTTTTTTTTAAATATTTTTTTGAGAATAGAATTTTTAAATCTACTTCTGCAAGATGCCATTCTATTTAACATCTCTGTTTGAGGTTTCTTTTTGCTATTTGAAATAATATTGGAAGCAATAGAGAGTTTCTGTCTCATAATGTTTCTCAGCTTGTTTCTGAAAGACTCCATGTACAATCAGGTCTTAACATTCTTTGCAAGATACAATGTGTCACTAGGACACACTTTAAGATACGTGTTTACAAGAACTAGTTATGTGTAGAATCCAAAGCTTTTTGTAGTCTGTAGCTGGTAATAATCAAGTGGGGCATCTTAACAGATATCCTTTTGCATTTACTAGCATTAAGTTAAACCTTCCCTGAGGGCAACATTTGCTTTACAGCAAAAACCACTTTTGATTTTTTTTTTTCCTGGAAAAAACATGGCAGTACAGTAGTGGATGTATGCAATAAAATTTCTTGAGAATTTTTTTCTCATTAGCATGTATAGTTATGGAACAGACTTTCTCTGTTTCTAGTTTCAGACAATGTATAGTCTGTTGTTGTCCTGCTCTGTAATGAAATCTCCTGGTCATAAGAGAGATAATACTCAATTGGTTACTAACTTTTCCCTTTCACTTAGTTAGAATGAGCATTAAATTATCGGCATCCTTTTTCAGTCAGCAGATATTTATTATTTGGGTCTTTAATAAAAATTGCATTGTTTACCTTTCTAGCTTTTTCCTGATTGTTGTTTTTAATGTCAATCATGGCAATGTATTCTGCCTGCCCTGCGATATGGACGGCTGATCCTCTTTATGCAGGAAATTAAAGAAATGTAATTTGTCCACAGAAAGTCTAATTTTTTGCATGCGCTTCCCCAAAAAAAGACTCAGAAAGGGTGGCCTTACTGCCAAGCAGAATCCATCCTGTGCTCAAAAAGGATGCAAATAAAGCTACAAATACATTTTATGGATCAGAGGGAATTTATCCTGGAGGAAAATATAGGATTAGTTAGAATTACAAAAATATATGGATGTTTTTGAAGAACAGTCCCTTGTTTAGATGAGTAAATGTGTTTTTTGCTGAAAATCTGGCTGCATAACTTTAAGGCATGAAGTCATTCCATCTCTTTTCTTAGTTCAAGCTGTCAGAAAGAGCCCTTGGGAATGAATGAGCAGAAAGAACCCAGTGATATTCTGAAAGGTAGAATGGCAACTGCTGATGTATATGTAGGCAACATGAGTTATTGTTTCCCTGGGGCTTGGAAGTTAGCTATTAATCCACTTTGCTTTGGCATCTTTGGCATTCAATCTTTTTGTAGATTACTATTTTATGTGTCAGCATCAGGGCAAAAATCTCCAGAGAGTCTGATAAAAGGTTGTATTTGAAATTCTCTGGTTGAGCATTGGTAGATCTGCTTTTTAATTAAATATATTCTAAAAATGAAAATAAAAAGAATAATCAATGCTTTTGAGTCTAATGAAAGAAATCTTGTCTTCCATGCCCTGTACCATGCAGCAAGTGTTTGGTGGACTAATTGGAATGCATTATCAAACTGGCATATATGACACAGTGAGTTGAACATAATAAGGGCCCTTAAAGAATGACTTTTCTTCCCTAAAGTACAGCTAGACATGAATGAAAATGTCAAATATCTTTCACATGAAAGATATTGAGCCAAAAATAAGGGTTATTTTTACTTCTGCTACTCCAGTGTTATCAGTTGGATAGTTTAATTTCTTAAGATCTACTTGAGGTACAGAAAATGTAATGGCCTTATTGCTTTTCATGATGTTGGACTGCCAGTGATAAATAAAATTCTCTGAAAACCCTATAACTCCCGGAGCCCTAATGTGTTTTTCCATCATCTGTTTCTCCTCAGTGGCTGAGAAGACCAAAGAGCAAGTGTCCAATGTTGGGGGAGCTGTGGTGACAGGAGTGACAGCGGTGGCCCAGAAGACAGTGGAAGGAGCAGGGAACATCGTTGCAGCCACTGGCTTGGTGAAGAAGGATCAGTTGGCCAAACAGGTTTGTTTATTTACAGTCTTTTCCAGGTGAAGAAGTGAGCAATGAGTGGTCTCCATGAACTGAGGGACAGGTGGAGTGCTTTCTTTTCTGTCTGCCAGTGCTATGAATGCAGAATCATTTGTGTTACGTTAAACAAATGAACAGCAAAAAAAAAGTCTGCTGTTTATAGCTTGTAGTTTGAGTGACTTGAAGAATTTGGGAACTTGAACAGGATTAGGCATGAAACTTTACTATTCTGAAATGCCTTAGCAAATTTGTATCATGGTTTAAAGTGTGATCTAGTGATGATTCTGAACTCAGCAGCCTCTAGTGGAGGCCAGCCACTGTAGAATAGCTGTTTGGTTGAATGAAAAGGTAACTGTTTTTCCCAATAACTCAGGATTAAAAAGCAACCTGCTGGTGCTGAAAGGTCAAACAGCAAATCTCAGGTTTAACGGCACAATTTGTGTCCACTGTAGCTGAAGAGCAGAAGGGTTTGTGTACCAATCCACTGACTGGTTAGACATATTACATCTGAAGTCAAGATCTAGCTGAAGAGTTGCTATCTTCCATTAATACAGCGACACTACCTCAAAAATGCCTCCAAGTATTCTGAACTCTTCAGATTAAATTTGCTCTAGCTCATCCTGTAAAGCACTCTGTAGGTGTTTTTATTCCAGCACCAAGGTGAACAGAAGTATTTGCACAATATGAAGTGTTACTACATTTTTGTTGCTGATACACTGTGGTTATGTTCTTCCACTTACACTAGGTGAAAAGTGACCCCAACTGGTGGGAGCAATGATTTCCAAAATGTGTACAGTGTTGTTTGGAGGCAAAAATAACCCAGAGGAGACAAATACCTCCCTTTGTGCTGCTTTCTGTATGAACATTTAAGACTTAAAAAAAATAGGATTAGGAAGAATATTTAGTATTTGCATAAAGATACTGTGTCACAGATTTAGCATGAAGTTCTATTGTGCATGTTATTTCCAGTTGGCATCCAGAGAAGCTGTTAAAATTGAATCCTTAAAAACTTTTAGTTTTTTCCTTGTCTGTTATTGAAGTGTATTCCTATCTGTCTGACAAATCCCATTGGTGCTTTAGTATGGGGAGCAAAAAGGGATATTACATTGTAGTAGGCATTCATTTCACTGTGGTGGATTGTTCTTGAAAATATCTCGCAAGCAGTTTTATTCTCTTTCAAAGCAGTTTTCCTGGTTTTTTTTTTAGTCATTTTTTATTGAGCTATGGGTGAAATGTTGCTTTTTATGTGGTTATGGTCCTTTGTAAAAGCTATGTTGAAGATTTGCAAAATTGAGTATCCAATGAACTGCCAGGGGATACACGAGTATGGCATGGCCACGGTAGTCTATGCCCTTAGTTCCCGCTAAAGCTCTTCCGTAGTTTTACACAGAGAATACTCATTTCTGTTCATAGCTCTTCAAACTCGGTGTAATAAGGATCATCACTGCAGTAATGCACTATTACCTACTTTAGTACTGAGCATAACTAATATTTTTTATGTCAATATACATATAGAGATCCTTATAAAGTATAAAGCAAATGTCTTCTGATTTTCATTTAAATATGTTCTATATATTGTTAAGCTTAAATATAAGTCGTGATGGCTCTAACAGAATAAAATCACATCTGTGAAATGAAAGAACATCCGTAATGTACATGCATATTATTCCATGGCCCTATAAATAGCAACATTATTCTGAACTGGTGCTTTGTTCTTTAAATATGTAAAACCATTCATTTGATTCTTGATACCGGTATTTTTAAACTGAGATTCTCAGTCATCTCTGCAGTATGGCCATGTAGCTGATTAGTATCTGCTGCTCCTAGTGGTCTGCCTTAGGTCTCTGTCTCTTTCTGGTTTTGCAAGGGCTGAGTGATCATTAATATCAAAAATGTATCATGTAGTTTTGCATTCCTGTGCAGCTCAGAGGCATGAGATAGACTTTTGCTTGGCTTTTCCAGGTGAAGTGACAGTTGGGTAGGCCAGTTGAGGGCGTCCAGAATACCAGTGGGACACAGGTCTCTTGTAGGAAACAGAATCTTTCTGAAATAACAGAAGGTGTCAACCAGGCATTCAATCAAAGTATCAATGTAACTTTGTGTTTTATCTCTGTAAGGTTATGTGACTTAAGGCTGTGATTTATCTAGTCTACTCTAAACTGGGAATGAGACCATGATTAGCAATAGCAATCTCATTCCCTGAGCTTCAGTGTGGCTAGCCAAATGCTTTTGTTCCTAGGAACATCTACTTGGAGTTTATAAATTCCATATAAAGCAAATGGCTGTGTATATCATGTGCAAGATGAACGCTTTGGTTGCTTACACAGGGTAAGCCATTTGATTTAACAGGGAATTGCAAATGCAGCATACCACTGAAAGCAGATAGAACCATGATTACAGACTGTTTTTCCACAGAAGGCTGAAAGGCATTAGCCAATAATCTGTTATTTTTAGTTGGCTTCTAAACTTGTGACAAATTATTTCTTCCAGTTCACATGAACCCACGTAATCTAATCTAAATCCTCCAACTGAGCGTAGTAAACAGTGATCTCCTGAGGTCCCTTCCAATCTGAGTTATTCTGTGAACTGCTATAAACTCAACCTCCATGCAAGTGAAGGGGTTTGCATATTTGCCATCTATTACAGAATCAAGGACTGTGAAATAAATATAGAGTCATAGAACATCTCAAGTTGAAAGGGACTCCTAAATATCATCAAGTCCAGCTCCCTGCTCCTTGCAGGGATTAGCTGCTTCAAAACATGTTTCTGGAAGCCTCCTGAACTAATGTCATTGCTGGGATCTGCTGCTAGTGATCTGCTTGCCTGTGTGAAAGCCTGCAGTCTTGTGTGGTGGCTGGCATTTTTCTTGTGCCATGATGGAAGTCTGGTTTTGACTTTCAACCGGTTGAAAACACTTGTAATGTTCTTTACCCGTGGATACAACAATACTTATGCAAAGGAAATACTAAGCAACTTCTTGGAAAAATCCTTTCTTGAGAAGTTTGTCCAAGCTTACCTAGTGCAGCCTTTAATATTGGAGTGCTTTGGAGCATGAAGCAGAGGCTTAACCATCCGACTGAGGCCAGGCTGGAGGGCTGCTGTCACACCACACTGTCACCTACCTGCCCCACAGCTGGTGTAAGCAGGCAGTGCAGAGTGACAGCTGAGACTAGTGAGAGACAGGGATGACTCGACAGTGCCCATCTGAGGGCTGCCCAGGGGATTTCTGCTGTGGCAGAAACTCACTGCTTAACACAGCAAGGGCAGTGGCGGTTAGTAGGCTTGAATTAATTATAAAAGGGCTAGTGTACTGCTAGCACTATGTTAATAAACAACAAAGCATTTATTCTGTGCCTGTACATGTTTTATTTCTGTGTACAGTGTGAATGTGCTTCTAAATTAATGGAGTGAAAAAAAAAAAAAGGAAAATTATCGATGATTGCATTTAATGTAGAGAAGAACATGTGGTTTTCCTGAGTTAAGAAAGCTGTAAAATCCAAAGGATTTTACGATTTGAATTTTACAATATTTTGTTTTTAGCTCAACATGAATGTATGGACCCAAATAGTCTGGAGGGGTACTGTAGTGTATAATACTGCCTGAGAACAAAACACAGATTACAAAGTTTATTGTTTTCACATAGGTAATTAACAACGTAAAGTTCTTAACCTCACTAAATTCATGTAATTTGGTTCCCTAGCATCTAAAGAATAAAACAGTTGGTAAGTTCTATGATTTCTATGGTGAATGATATTATTTATACTAGCAGCAAAATCCCCAGTCATGCTAAAACCTCATGGTTCTCTGCATAATATGTCAGTATGTAGTCAGATAGATTTCATGTGCTGTAGATTTACTAAAGTAAATAGAATAGCAGACCTTGTCCTTGCCATATTTGGGATCTATATGATCTGTATAGGTCTTGTTTGATATCTATATGTGCTAAATCCTTTTTCTTTTTAGTGTCTCTTAATTTAACATATTTATGGTAAATACCACTGTGAACACAAACATAAAACTACAGTAGCAGGTAACATAGGTAGGTAATATACTTACAGAGCAGGTAATATAACTCCTTGGTTTAAAAACAAAGCTTTCAGAGAAAAAGACTTTTAAATGTCAAGATTGGCAATTTAAGCATTAGGCATTTTCTTCTACAGGGAATATTACTTAACTAAGAGCTCTTGCTAATTGTATTTTATGTGAAAATTAATACAGAAGAATGAAAACAATGTCAAGTTTGCAGTATCTCCCCCTCCCCACCCCCATGCATTTCCTGGCACTCCTTAGAATGTGAACACTGTCATAGCATAAACGTTCAGTGCAGTGGATCCCAGGCATAGAGTATTTCTTGTGTTATTAATTTTCTTGCGGGGACCCCTGGTGGCCTAGTGGTTAGCATGCGGGACTCTCACCGCTGCGACCCAGGTTCGAATCCCAGTCCCCCCGGGCAGATGGAGCCCGTTAGCCCTGTGAGGCCATCCATCTATGAGAAGGTCACTCTAAACAAACCTACGTCCTGAGGACCTCACTGCCATTGTCCAAGCTTGCTTGGCCCCGGCAGATGAACCTTAGGATTAAAGGGTGGGCTCAGTTCAGCGCAGGCTGTGTCTCACCTAAAAAAATCCATTGCGCAGGCTGGAAAGGTAAAAGACCTTTCCCCAAATCTTCTTTCGCGAAGACTGGCCATTACTTACTAATTTTCTTGCCCAGAATAGCTACTCTTATGAACAACCAAAATTTTCCATGCACCATTAACCATTGTTTAGAGCCAGTGTGAATCCAGTCTAGGGAATCACCATAATCAAATATACAAATACGTAGGAGCCTTTTTCATTCTTTTTACAGGGAAGCTCCATGAAAATAAAGACATGATGAAACACCCTTTAATTTTAATGAGAGGAGAGCGACTCCCTTTTGGTTAAGACACCAAGCATCATAGGGTACTCCAGCCTGCTATTATTTATTCATTTGGGAAATCTTATTAGTAGAAG